TTGACTTAATAAGAATTTAATTATCATTCTTGTTTGTTGCGCAGGTTTTCGTCAAAATGTTAAGTTTTAACATTTTATCACAATAATGTTTTTGTCATTTTTAATAGTTTTTTATAACTGTTTTAAAATTAGAGTTTTAAATAATTTTTTTTTACTGTTAAAAATTTATAGAAAATTAAATATTCTAGTTGTTTTAAACAGTTTAAAATATGTAAATAAAATAGAAGATGAAATAATTAATTAAAAGAAGGTTAGGAATATCAAGTTCATTGATTTTACAAAAATACAGCCGTTAGATTTAATGCAATATGATAATAGTAATAATGTAAACTATAACTAAAGCTATTTTACAACCGCTAACCGTAAATGGTATGACATTTTATGCAAAAACAAGACTTATTATGTATGTTAATGTAAAAAAGTTAAAATAAATAATGCCCCCTCCCACAGGGGAGGAGGGGGAAGGAGTTATGAGCAACAAAAAAATCGTGATTAGATTTTTTTTACGTTAATTTGAGCCCTGGAAATTAACTAAAAACGTTAAATTACTATGTGAGGAGGAATCGGAACTGCTTCACAATAACGCTGAAAAAATAAAACAGAAATAAGTAATTTTAAGTTTAAGTATAACGAGTTTGTAGGAATGACTAAAGCAAAAATAATTGAGGTTAGTTAATTTCTAAGAACTTAAAAACTTTTCTTTCTTGGAGGAAAGAATCAGCTATCGGGTACACTGAGGAAAATGAATTAGTGGTTAAAATTATCTGTATTAACTTTGATGATTATTGATAATTTCATTAAAAACGCAGTTATTATTGAAAGTATTTTTGTTTACAAAATTGATTGCTCAAATTGCTTTAAAAGATTAAATATTTTTATTCAAATGTAATTATTTTATTCAAATGTAATCACATTTGAATAAAATACACATTCATAAAATTAAATGCACAATAATTACATACATAAAAAAACATTACATAAAAAATACATTGCATACATAAAAAATACATCCCTTATATAAAAAATAAGAATATACTAATAAAATCTATAATATATTTACAAAACGTTGACAAGATAAAAAAGATAAATTTCAAACATTTATTTTTGGTAAACAAATAATGTTAGTTTAAAACATTTATAGCTTTGCAGATGTGGCTCCGAGAATTAAAATAATAGTTCGTTTGATAGTATATTCATAAAACAATTTATGCTAGAAATCTCAACGAAAACATAACAAAACTCAAATAATACGATTTTTAAAAATATTTCAACAGAATACTCTAGAAATTTCGGTTAGTATTTTTTGAACCAATAGAATTAATTTTTTATAGAATTGCCGAGTTTTTCATGTTTGCAAATATTCTTTTTTTATTTTCTGCACAAAGATGTTTGAGAACATTTGAGTTTATGTATGTTTTCATGTATGTCCGTAAAACAAAATATTTTAAAATTTACAATAAAATAATAAACTTAATTAAGGAAACATACATAAATTTAAATATTCTCAAAACAACTAAAAAATCTGGCCGGTTTTTCGCAATTAAATATTATTTCCGTGGTCAGTTATTGAGTGCGATCGCACATGCTTCCCGACCAAGGCTGTTGCTGTCAAATCATCTTGATTTGACAGCAAGTTATTTGAATCAAGATGTGATGTGAGAATATTGTTTATCAAAGACCTTGCTAATAACAGAAAGAAGACTGAATGGACAATAATTAGAAGGGTCAGAATGTTCACCAGAGTTTTTGAAAATTGGAACAAAAGGTGCCATTTTCCAGCAAGTAGGAAAAAAAGACTCAGTCAAGCACGTGTTAAATAGTTTAAAGAAAATTGAAGAGAGTTCTAAAGCACAATTTTGTAAGACTGTGACAGAAATGTTGTCTGGACCACAAGCTATAGAAGAGCTTAATCGAGATAAGACTTTAGCAACGGAAGCTGGAATGATTTGAATTGGAACGGAAGGAAGAGAATGGATATAAAATTGGAACGGAAGGAAGAGAATGGATATAAGATTCGAATTAAAAGAGAAGTTCTTTGCAAATAGTTCAGCCTTATCAGGCTTGGTCGGGAAGCGGGAGCGATCGCTCTCGATTGCTGACCACGTAAGTAATATTAAAGCTATATTTAGAACAAATATTTTCGAAACATCGCTCTTTTATAATTTTTTTATAAAATTAAACAATATTTTTTATATAAAGTAACATCTTACGATCGTTTAAAAAGAAAACAAATATTCCTTATTTCACAAAGTTTGCAAGTTTCAGTTTTATTTAAGCTAAATTATTTTATAAATAAAAAAAGTTAATTATTTTAATACCTATTTTATGTTTCGCATAATTAAAAAAGTTTAAGTTTTCTTCTTAATAAGATAAACAAATGAAATAATTAAATCATTGAATTACTATAAAAATTAAATTAACAAGATAGACATCAACTAAAAAGGTTAAAAATACTTTATGACGAGGAAACGAAACTGCTTCACATTATCGCTGATGATGTTTAATGAGTAAGCTTTTAAATTTTAATTAGTATTTAAAGCCGAAAAAAGTATAACAAGTCTTAAGAATGGCAACTTAAGCAAAAATAATTAGAGTTAGTAAACCAATTACTAGAAACTTTTCTTTATATATAATATTTGTTATATATTTGTGTTCTGTCGTGACCTCAGGCGCGGTTCTTGTTTATCCGAGAGTTACTTTGTACACGTTGCTTGTGTTTTTTTATCCAGAAACTTCTTATATGTTTGTTACATAATTAGTTTCATTAACTTTAATGATTATAACTTTGTTGAAAACGCAATTATTTTTTTAAATCTTTGTTTAATTCATTAAAATTGCTTTAAAAGATACATAACAATAAAAAAACAGATACACAAAACTACATTTACATAAAGAATACATACTTTTTAAATAAAAAATAAGAATATACTAATAAAATCTATAATTTACAATAAACTTTTAAAATTTTGACAACTTAATTAATATATATTTAAAACATTTATTTTTGTAAACAAATAATATATATTCTTAAAACAAATAATGCTAGAAATCTCAAAACGTAACAAATCGTGAATAATACAATTACTAAAGCATTTCAACAGAATACTCTAGAACTTTCTTTCGCTTAGTCAGCGTATTTTTTGAACCAATAGAATTAGTTTGTTCGTTAATTTGGCGGGTTTTTAGTGTTCGCAAATATTATTTTTATTCTTTCGCACCAAAATGTTTTGAGAACATTCAAGTTTTTTATGTTTCTATGTATGTCCGTAAAACAAAAATTTTTTGTTTCGTACAAAAACTTAAATGTTCTCAAAAACTAAGTAAAAAACCTGGCCAGTTTTTCGTAACTAAATATAATTTCCGTGGTCAGTATTCAAGAGCGATTGCTCCCGATTCCTGACCAAGCCGCTTCCTGACCAAGCTGCTTCCTGACCATGCCTTATCCTTGGGAGATGTAATAAGATCAGTCCCATGAATTAGAGACGGAATGTTAGACTTTTCTTTGTTAACAACGCTGTTGAAGATTTTCCTAAAGTCTCGAGAGCCTAACTTCTGAGATAAGATATGAGATTTAGTGAACTGAGAATAATGGAGCTTAGCATCTGAGAGCACCTTTTTACATTGATTTCTTGCAATAATAAATAGCTCTTCATTATCAAGAGAGTTGTTCTTTTAAAAAAGATGAAAAAAAATGATTACTATTAGATATAGCAGCTGCACAAAAAGGTGAAAACCATGGAGTAGAATGAGACTTGACTTGGAACCGATGAGATGGAATAAAAGCATCCATTACTGCCTGAATCAATGAGTTACATAGGAGGCACATTTATCAGCTGAGAGGGAAAAGGCATCAGCCCAAGGATCGTCACAAAGAAAATCACAAAAAGAGTCCTAATCAGCTTTAGAGAAGTAGTAAGTAGTGCAATGATAGAGTGAGTCCAAATATGAAGTATGATATAAGATTTAAAAGGATCATTGCATAATCAGAATCACTTAAGGGAGAAAAAGGAGAAACTGGACACAAGCTAGGATCAGAGAATAGACATAAACCAAGGTAAATGATTAGAGTTGTCAGGAAAACGAGTCACAAAGTTATATCTAACTAAGAGATTGGGAAATGCTTATGTTACTATCTAAGTAAAAGATTAGGAAATGCAGAAGTTATAGGCTTTAGTAACAGCAGAGTCGTTAAAGCAAAGTCATTTAGTGTGATGAACATTGAAGTCACCAATAGCAACAATATTGGCAGAGGGGTAACGAGAGAGAGCATTTGATAAGAACTTATATCTAAAAGAGTGCAGTCTTGGGAACAAGGAGAACGATAAAGAATAAAGTTTTAAATTCCTTTTATTTTGGATTTATTAATTTACTAATTATAGACTTGAAATATCTGAAACATATTTTTTATTGATCAATAAAAAAATTGCATCTTTTATTAGTAGTTATGCAAAGAAATAGAAGTTAGTATCCATCATCAGTTAGTATCCACAAAAAACAGTTATGCTGAACTTGCATAAAATATATTGAATGAATGTTATCATACTTTTCAAATATGTGCAAGCATTAAAAATAAGTAAAAAATTGATTAGAAAAAAAAAGTTGCTTAAATGCAAGTAATCTTTTTTTTTAGACAATTTTTTAACTAGTATCTTAGTTTATTACAAGTAATTTATACATTAATGTAAACACAATTAAACATCAAATCAATTTTTAATGAAGAATAAACAGAATTTTTTTTTTTTTTTTTTTTTTTTTGCAATTAAATAAAATTATAAATCATGTAACTTATAACAAGATTAAAAAAATATCTTTTAACCTTTAATCTTCATTTAAATGTCAATATTGATTAAAAAAAAATTGTCAAACCCTATATGATTCAGGCAAGCATTATCTTTAAACATTTCAACAGCAAAAAAAAATTTTTTTGTTGAAAAAACTATCTAACATTGAAGTTAGAATTTTAAAAACTAAAGTGAAAAAAATAAAACTAGTTTTCTTACCATCATCATCTTGCTCCATAAACTCATCTTTCTCATCAATATCAACATCAAGAACTTCAGACATTTTTTTTAAATAAACTTAAGACTTTTTTAAAAAAAAAAATGTTTAAAAAATCATATAAAATCAATAAAACAATCAATTAAAACCAATGTAAAAATTAATGTGTTAGTGGCTTCATAATTAACGTGTTAATGGATTAAAGCGCCTGCTTTATAAACTACAGGTTCTGAGTTTGATCCCCTACTCCTCCTCCCACTAAAAAAATATTCAGGATATATTATTAAAATAATATATCCTGAATATATTATTTTAATAATATATCCTGAATATTTGTGTGTGTATGTGTGTGTGTGTGTGTGTGTGTGTGTGTGTGTGTGTGTGTGTGTGTGTGTGTGTGTGTGTGTGTGTGTGTGTGTGTGTGCATTACTACATTTCAGTAGGCTACAGATTTTTTTATTTCTTAATTTAGTAGCAACTCTCTGTCTTTTTTAAACTTAAACTCTGAAAAACAAACATTGTTAGCCATAGTGTGGCCAAGTTTTCAATATTACTAGCAAAAATCCAACACATTTTTGAAATTTGTTTAACAAATATACCTGTGTCTTATTTTAATAAAATAACAATCTGCAATAACAAATTAAAAAATAAAGGGTTTTCACACTGCATTTATGTTAAATTTTCAAATTGTAACTAGATTAAAATCTTACATGTCACTCCCAAAACCAAATCAAAAATAAATAAAAATTTAGGGTCGTTGAGCTTGTGACATATAAAATAATAAAATTTTGACATAAAATGATCAAAATGTAGCCTTAATCAAACTTTACTGTATTGGTCCAACCCAGCATCTTGATAATATTTGTGCAACCTTGTTAATTTTTTATTATAAAGATAATAGTTACTTCAAAAACCATTTACTTTATTAAAAAACACGACAAATAAATACGTAATACGTTAGTATAGTTAATATTCAATAAACACCCAATATTAGGTAGTTATTAGATAATAACAACTAGTTTAGAAAAGTAAAAATTAAGTAGTTATTATGTAACAATAACTATTTAATATTGAAGATTTTTTTAATAGTAACTATATACATATCAACTGTAAAATAAACTTAAAATTAAAAGGAAAACTTAAAGAATAAATTTTAAAATCAACTATTTACAAATAACTTTAAACATATTCAATATAAATTAAACTGCTATCTTAATAACTTTAAACATATTCAATATAAATTAAACTGCTATCATAATATAATATAAACTGCAATCTTGACACTTGATCTCACAAGACTGTAATACTCAAAAATACTCACTTGGAGATTAGCTTCAACAGAAAATCTAACAATCGGACGGACATGCCGATTATTAACTCGATAAGACAAAATAACTATCCTGTATTAGATTCAAAAACATGCGTCTATATTCATTACATTTGGCTCACTTAGTTACATTCTTTGTAATTTCTTTTTGAATACGAGTAGTAGGAAAAAAAAAAAAAAAAAAAAAAAAAAAATATATATATATATATATATATATATATATATATATATATATATATATATACAAAGTTTAGAGAAATTGTATTAACTAAACGTCTAATGCCTTTTTGCGAGTTAGTGTCCTATTCCAATCAAATCAATTGACAATTAATTAAAAAACCCTCGGATGGACGAAGAGTGAGTCAAGTTCCTATAACACATATTTATATATATATGTTTATATATATACATATATATATATATATATATATATATATATATATATATATATATATATATATATATATATATATATATATATATATATATATATATATATATATATGTATGTATGTGTGTGTGTACCTTCTTTGATACCCTTTTTTTTTTAGGTATTAATATATATATATATATATATATATATATATATATATATATATATATATATATATATATATATATATATATATATAACAATTATTATACCAGAATTTATATTAAAGTTTGCATCAATACTATATTAATGTATAAATATTATATTAACGTATTTTTATTTATCTGATACTTAATAATTTTGTATATATATTTCCTTTTTATCACGATAATAAATGTATATTTTATATGGCATACGTGAAGAAGAAAAAATAAATAAATAAAAAGAAGAAACGTGATCTGCTTCAATCAGGGAGTGATAACGCAAGCTGCTGTTTAATAATGAAGATAATAATAATGTTGTTGAAGAAGCAACGGTTCCTAAGCCAATCCCAGAGTTGATTTAGGTAAATGCCAAAGAATAGCATTAGTAAGTGATAAAACGATTCAACTTATCTATAGAGATGTAAAGCATTTTCTGCATGAAATAAAATCAGTGTACCAACGATTGGTTTCCTATAAAAAATATCCAAAGACAACCGCAAAAAATATGTCCATATATAACCGCAAGATTTGAAGATTATGAAGTTGTGGTACTTTTCAATGTATGCATGGCATTTTTGAAAGAAGATTGATTTTTTAAAGAAGATTCATGGATTTAAATTAAATGGATAACATTTTCCCACGTATACCAAACAATCAAAGATCATGAAAAGTCTACATAACAAAATGTTGCTGTCATTGTATTATTGAGTTGCACAGCAGAGAAAGGTATGAGCTCTTTAATCAACAAAGGTCTAGTAGAAAAGCAGAGAGCGCTAGTGTTGAGAAATTTTGAAGTATTCAAAGAATTTTTGCAACAATCATTTTTATTGGGAAGGCAGCTCTTCCGTACAGAGTTTAATTGGGGTAAATCTTTTTACAGTTTGCACAATAAATCTAATGATAACGGGAATTTTTTGGAACTAATACTGCTGATTGCAGGTTATGAAGTTCCTTTTAATAATCATTTAAAAAAAGCAATTCAGGCAAGTCAAAAGAGGAAAAATGTTTGATACGCAAAGGAAAGGGAAGCTCTCGTTGACGTAGAAGCTTGGTAACAATATCTTCAAAGACCACAGTTAACAATATTCTAGCTGCTACTTCAAACTTAATGAAGAATGATCAGAAATTCAGTGTAGAAATGGATGTTAGTCAATATCAAGGTTAGGTTCAAATACGTATTTGTATTTAAATCTGTATTTGGTTGTTATGGGCTAAATTCATATTGTATTTGATTAAAAAGTTTCTTAAATATACGCTACGTTATGATTTATGGAAATCAAATAGATGTTGTGGAGCCCTTTATTGATTTTGTTGAAACATAAAGGGAAAATGTTAAATCTATTTTATCTATAGTATTTGAAAAATAGTTCAAATACTATAGTTAATCTTACTGTAGTAATACAATAATGTTACTGTGATATCTGGTCACCTATATGGTGTTCAGATGCACGTTAAGAAAATCAAGAGCAAAAAAATTTCAAGAGTAAGAACTTGTTGGATGTTTACTAAATTTATCAGGTCTGCATAGTGCTCTGTATTCTGTTACGTTCTTTTGTTCGGAGGTAGATCTGTGTATCATTTATTTCACGAAGGAGAAGCCCTCACAATCTGAGAAAGCACACAAATAAAATGGTTGCAATGCAACCAAAAGTTACTCAAAATTCTTAAATGTTGTTATCATTAAATCTTAAAAACTACTCAAAAATTTAAAATTCTTTTTGGGCAATTAACTTGTAAAGTTAATTGCATTGAAGATTTTTAATTTGTTTTCTTGTTAACGTTAACTGCATCTCTCAATGAACTTCATTGTGCTTCTCTAAACTCATTCCAACAATGATTCAAGAAAAAGAAAAGTTCGAATAAATGCTTTATAGCTTTGATTGTTTGGTATAGTTTGGTATAGCTAACTTTTAAGTGGTTTCGATTAAAAAGTTTGTGAAATTTGTGGCCTTTCGGGAAACATTTATCAATTATACTCAAAAATATGGCCTTTCGGGAAACATTTATCAATTATACTCAAAAATGTTTTGACAAAGTTTGTTCTGACGTTGAGTGAATAAGGTGGGTTAAACCAGATAATGTTCCTTTTTCGAGATTTTATATTATATTTCTGGATTTCTGGAATGAAATTGATCTTATCTTTGAATCCACAAGAATTGAAAGCGTTATTATAAAATGGTTTAGCTCTATCAAAAGCTTCTTTGCTTGAAGATATATTGCTGATGCGGTTAGAGATCATTTTTGGTATCAGTTTAATAATGCTTGGTGGATGATTGGAATTAATGTTAATATATAAAGGATTATCTCCTAGTTTTCTATAAGGTTTAAAAGAGTTATCAGAAAGGTTAAATGTGATAACAAGAAAATTTACGCTTTTTAAGTTTGGTTTGATAGTGATGTTAAGATTAAAATTGTCTTTAAAATTTTCATTAGATTTTTCTATATTTTTTCCGATTGATGACCACTGATATTATATAAGCAGCAAAGACCATTATCTCTAAATAGACCGGTAGTATTAAGACCATATTCTTAGGCAATAGTGTATAAGATATAGAGGCCAACTAATTCGCATAATTCGGCTTCGTCAAAACTACCCATGGTGACATCGAAATTAGGGTCCGCCGACTTTTTAATCCACATATTATTTCCTGAAAAAAGTAAAGACTTCTGGCGTGGTAAATAATTTCGAGTGATTTATCAGGAATTTTAGTGAACTGTTTTGCATGGTTTATAGAATCTTGAAGAAGTTGTTTAAAATTTAAAAAACAGAAAAACGTTGGGTAAACTTACGTGTTCGTTATTGCGCGTTTGAGGTGAACATTTTAGAGCTATTAAAATATCGTTTGCAGTGAACGTTAAGTAAACTTTTCCCGTTTTTTATTTGAGTGTTCGTATTAAACCTTCAATAACTGTAAATCGGAGTTCACTAAAATTGGTTCAATGTAACATTTGCAGCGAACGTTACGCAAACCTGAATGAACGTTGTGGTAACGTGTTTTGAAAGTTAATTGTTAACTAGGCTGTTGACACTACATCAACAAATATGCCTATCAATAATAAAGATATGCAATCATCAAACCAATATTCCGGTTGAATGAAAATCAGAATTGGACGGTAAAAGCAATCAAAAGATTTAAAAAAAATTGAAGAGTTAAGAAAGACATGAAGAGGTATAAAATAAGCCAAAACTTTGCATACTCAGTTATAAAAATATTGTTTATCAGTACAACAAATTAAAGATGACTCCTTCGACAACTTCATAAATACGTAAAATAAATTGCTCATGGAGATATTAAAGTTGAACTTAAAAAAACTTTTGTTTGGAGAAGTGGTTTCTTTTGTCCTTAAAAATAGCACTGGAATTAAAAATAACAAGTACTGGTCAAGTAGATGGCACGTCTATTTTTTAGAAAATACGAATTAATTGAAATAGCAAGTAATTTTTTTTTAAAAAAATTGAATCTTTGATTAATCTTACTTCTTGAACTTCTGAAATCATTTTTGTAGGAACTAGCGCAAAGTTTTTGAAAAATATCCGAAACGAAAGTAAACTTTTTCCACTCAACGTGTTCTGCAAAAATATTTTAATAGTTTTTTTAACAGCCAACGGAACAATACTTTCAATATGCTTCTCTAATATTTGTTGCCTGGCAAGTAAAATTTTAAAAAGTACGATACCTCATTTAAGTGTGCCAAAATATACTTGACATATTGCACTTTGAATGAGGCACAAATAACTAAATTAAGTCTATAGCTGTGGCAATAAGTATATGCAGCTTTTTTATTCAGATTTAAAATACAAGAGGACAAACCTTTAGTGTGACCATCGATTGCTCCAGCACCATCATATCAACGCCCTCTGCAATTCATGATATATAAAGAAGAATCTGAAATACTTTAGGCGGACGAGTAAACAGCACAATGACTAAGTAAAAGCAATTGCTGATTTTTATTCACCCGGCCTAATAGTTGTTCTTTACTTTAACTGTCAAAAGCTTCATCAGCAAAAATAGAAAAACGTTGAAAAATTTTTTTTATTAGTTTGTCATTAATAACTTCTCCAAAACACTTTTTTATTTGATGATATGGTGTATTAGATATGTAAGAAGCATTTTTTTTTTTTGTAATATCTAAGTTGATCTTGAAGAATATTATTACCAGCTTAAAGAAAGCATAAATTCTGTCACGCAATCCCCTCCCCCCTTCCCTCGTAACGCATCTATAACACTTTTACTACCTCCCCCCTAATATTACGCAACAATTTTTTACCCCCCTTCCTTAAAAATTTTTAAAATATTTTTTTAGGGGTGGAGGGTACAAAATATTACAAAATACCAAACGATTATGAATATAATAATATCTATAATTTTCTGAGCTTAATTAATTAGTACTTTTCAGTCTGTTTAATTTTTTTTTTCATCCTAATAGCTACGCATAAAATTG